ATGCATTATTCAAGACTGTTAGTAGTAATTTCTTTCTGTTTTAAACAAATTTTAAATAAAAAATTTACAAAAATTCTTTTTTAATTTTATTACAAATAATTTGAAGAAAATTAATTTGCATGCAATTAAATTATTTTACTTTCACTTGTTTGTAAATTACTACAGGAACTACAATGATTGCCGTATATAATGTACTCTAAATAGTTTCAGTAAAGGATTATTGTAGCCCTATACATCCCAAAACCTGGATCTCTGAATTTACAATCAAATGTTTACATTTTTTTTATATTCAAATTTACATTAAAAAATCTATTAAATTATTTTTATTTTCATTAATTATTGGTTGCGCAATTAAATGACTCATTAAATATATAGTAGCACATTAGAAAGTATTTAGTTAGTAAACATTTAATAGAGCTTTAAATTTAATAATGTATTTAACTTTTTATAAAAGGTTAAAATAATAATAGATATATACCTAATATCATTAGACTTTTATGATAATACAATTTTTTAAACGCAGTTATACTAATTTCGGTAGAAGTCACTTGCGTCAATGGCTTATGTATACAAGTGTGTTATAATAGGATATTGTATACTTATTGTACTTATTTAATTTTAATATGATCATAAGTTACCTAAATTAATTATTGAACATGAATAATTATGTTAGTAGAGTGTCGAAAATGCTTAATTCAATAGTAATAAATAAAAATCCTACATGTTTAATAATAATTGATATGAAAAATTGCATACACATTTTTATTTTCAATTTGAAAATATCGCAATTAACATTTTTCATAGATTTTTTTTATTATATTTTAACAATTCTATTAACCAATTCTAGTAGTTATAAATTAATGGTACAAGGTAAAGCCTGGGTGTTTTTATTTTTATCACTTAAATATTGTCAGCTCAACTTCTCCTATATATTAGTGTTAATAATTTCCAACATACTGGTCTAAAGTCATTATTGAACAATTATTATCTTAATTAGCTCGTTATTTAATAAATAAACTAATTAATTATGAATTTTTTTTTTTTTTAATTCTAAGCTGCTAACTTAGTATTTTAATTTATTTAGTATATATTTTATTTAGTAACCAATCCCTTATAAAACTTATGGGATAAATATAAAAATACTATATGACTAATAAATTGAGAAACCCATGTAAATAAAAGAAATAAAATTAACAATAATCATTCGTAATATAATGTCTAATTTTCTCCACTAATGGAATTGGACATAATTAAATTTAATTAATAATTCCATTTGATACCACGGGAAAATCTTAGTATTGCAAATACCTTGTCTCTTAAAATATCAGTCTGGTTTTTTAGGTTACCTAGCATAAAATTCGATTATTCCATAAAACCTTTAAATATATAAATAGTTCAATATTTTAAACAGAATTTTCATACATTAATTATACACAAACATTGTTTTTAACAAATCAAATTGTACCTTTTGGCTTAAAGGTCAAAATCATATATAAGGCAATGTGCGGTTGTATACGTAACACGTTTATTACTGTGACCGATTTTTCTTCAAATATAAATATAAAAATCTGTTTTTCATTTTTTTTTTTTTTTAATTCTTTCGAATTAAAATTGTTTTTATATTTGTAAATTATATTTAAAAATGTGAAAGAGAATAGACATGTGACAGATCTATTCTTGTTTATTCTTGTCCTTTTGCTGGATTTCTTGACTTTATATTGCAGTTTTTTAGTTTTATTATAAGATTTACGTTTGTATGTTTTAATTTAGCCAACATTCTTTTGCTAGATGGAATTTTACTACCACTTCGTTTTTTATCTGTTTATATAAATTGTTGTAATCTCTGTTCCTTAAATTGTTCCTTCTGTCAATAAATTCAAGAATTTTTCCAGTCATCCATTGCTTCCTCGGTTTTATTTTATATTTACCAATTATTTTATCTGCAACTCTAATTATATCCATCTTTATACTATCCCAGCTTTACTGTAATTTTAAATTCATCTACATTCGTTTTGAACTCTTCTGAGATATTTTAGTTTTTCAATGATCCATTTTTTTTTTTTATCACTTTAATTCTTTTCTTAAATTGAATGTTGCATTGTGCCATTACAATATTACGGTCACTATCGATGTCATATCCTGGGTAGGTATAGCTAAATTTTATTTGATTTCTGAACTTAGTTTTTACGAGAATGAAATCTATTTGATACTGACTTCTATTTCCAGGCACTTTCCATGTGTATCTTCTTCTTAGCAGAACTTCAAAGTATGTATTTGTTACTATCAGTTCCTATTGTTCACAAAACTATCAATCTTGTGCCTCTTTTTTTCTCTTCTCTAGTGCATATTTTCCAGAGAAATTACTTCTTTCACGTCCTATCAAGGCGTTAACATAACCAATGATAAATACATTTGAGTTGCATTCTGTTAGTTGTATGAGTTCTTCAATCTGTTCGTATGTCTCTTCAATTTCTTCATCCGTACTTCAAGATAATAAATAGTTACTGAAGTAGAACAAGTTGAGTACATTGTCTTTCCACTTCCTTTATAATATCACTGCCACCCCATTTCTTCCTTTTTTTCTTATTTTTACTATTCTAAAATCTTCAGATATGAAATCACCATTTCTTGCTCATCTAGTATGACTTATATCAAGTATGTCTAGCTTTGCATTCTTTATTTATTCTTTTACTCTTTCCAGTTTCCCCATTTTAATCACTGTCTTCGCATTCCATGTCCCTTTTCCAAAATAATTAAGCAATCCAAATGATACTTTGTGCAAACTCAGAAATATTAGAATCGTTTATTATAAATAAATTAAAAAAGCTTATCCGAGTAAAAATAAAATTGCCTAGGGGTCTATTTTCGAAACGTCCGTCCGTCAAACGGATTCTATTGTTTCTATTAAGTATACTAAATATTCTTCGATGAACGTTTATGATCCACAATTGTTTGCAATTTATTGTAATAATAAAAATAAATATTTTGAATTTTTAATTTATACAACTTGATTTTTAATATTAAAATTTTTATTTTTAATTAATATATTATTTTTTAATAACAATAATTTATTATTAAAACAAACATTTATAATTTGTTAATTTAATTTGCTTGATGTGAATTTAGTTTAAGTAACTCGCCAAAATTAAATAAATAATTTAATTACATAAATTCTAAAAAAAATTTTTGGACAATTGAATACATGTTAAATTAAAAATTATTAATACACTTTGAACAACAATACTTAAATTGTCGAAAATAAAATGAAAACATATAATTATATATTATTTTATTTATATATTTTTATATTATTAATTAATATAATAATTAATTAAATATGATTTAATTTAAAATTATATTTTAGGTAAATATGTTTACCTAAAAGGTAAGTATAAGGGTAAAACCATTGTATTGTTATAAATAACCGTTCGCAATCGGATGGTTCCTAACATCTTTTGTAAATTATAGTAATCACGAAAAGATAGTGTTTTCTTCTGTCCATTTATCAATACGTATTTCAATGTTTAATACCGTAAAATAATACATGAAAATTAAAATTTTTACAAACTTTAAAATGCTACAGAATATTTACTACTGAATATTAATAAGATATTTTTTTATTAAAATTTTTCTTAAACTCTACTCTACAAAATAGCTATCTTAGATTTTTTTTACATTTTATTTAAAATTTAAAAATAATTAATATTTTTAATAAAATGTATAAAAATTAATTATTGAGATATAGCTATAGACCTGACGTATAACTATTATTTAAAAAAAAAATCAGCTAAAAATATTAACTGAATCAAAAGTTATTTAAGTTGTCAGTGAGTGGTGGGCCACCCTGTATATTATCTTTTCCCAAATCTTCATACTATGACTCTAATCTTTATGACTCTACACTTTCCATACTCCTACATGTCTCCTTTACCTTTAATTATCGGCACCATAATACTATTCCTCCATTCTTTTAAAAAGTTCCTTCAATCACTTTATGCCAACACTGCCTAATATTTTCCATACTTCTACTAGTATTTCATCTGGTTTTACTGCTTTATTCTTTTTAATGGATGCCACAGCCTCCCATACCTCTTTCTTACTAATTAAATATACTAGTTCTTCCCACGAGATATTCTGAAATGCCTCTTTTGGATACTCTTCATTCAATATTTTTTTTAAATACTCCTACCTTTTTTCGCATAATTATCCGTCGAAAGCACCCTCTTATGAACACTACTAGTGTTAATAAGAGGTTGGGTTAGAGAACTTTACGCAGGTTGTTGACTTAAATCTCTATAGTTGCCTGGTACTAGCATAGGGACCATGACAGTATTCTTAACCCGTATCTACAAGGATATGATTACCTTATTAAATTCTTTATTTAATAGTAAATAAATAAATAGATAAAATTTAAACGTTTTATACAATTAACAGATAATTCAACTATTCTTTTAGAATTCAATCTAAAACACATCGATAGAAAACTATACTAATTCTTAAATTTTAATAAAATTATATAATTAGATCATATATTAAAATGTTTATATTATGAGACTTTACATCAAATAATTTATTTAATTTATTTGTCATTTACCTATTCATTAAATAATTGAGTATACGGTATGAATCATGCAAATTTAAACAAACATTATTATTAGAAGATTGTATCTTTCAATTAAATTAACCTGGAATATTCAAAATAGCAAGTATAAAAAAAATATATGAAGGATTAAAATTTAAAACAAATCTTGATATTACAAAAAATATAATACTTATATGAATGATAAATGACACAAATACAAATACAATTGCAATCATTTTAGATATCGACTTTATTTATAAATGTATTTATTAATGTTAAAGCAAAAAGAAATATGGCATTTTCAGAAATTTAGTGTGCTTAACAAATATCGTAACAGAAAAAATTAATAAAAACTCTATTGAAAACTTTTTACGTTTCAGTTCAATGGTTTTTTTAACTCTAAATATCTAGATACGTTTACAATCAGCATATAGTCATATGTTATAGTGAAAAATTTAATTATTAAAATTATTTTATAATATATGAAAACAAAATTAATTTAATTTTTAATAAGCATCCTCTAAATATGTTACGTCAAACAGTGTTTTTATTTTTATTGACTGTAGCTTTTGCATTTTTTAATGGAGGACACGTGAAATTACATTGTATATTTTCCAATTATATGTTGAATTTTTTTCAGTTAAATGAAAAGTATTTTATTTTATCGTTAAAACAAAATGTAGAAAATATATCAATCATGAACCATTTGAAGTACTACGGAAAAAGTTTACAATCTCAAAACACTATAATATTGTCGATGCTTGAAGAATTACGAAAAAAGAACGCTTCAACATTTCCTGCTGACTTGATGACGGTAAACTTATACTTAAATAATGTGATGGGACATATTTATATGTATTCAAATACTGACATGAATCACGATGAAACTAAGATATCTGAGGAAGAACGTTTAAAACTCGGATTCAAAACTAATTATAATTTGATAACAAATTATTTGATGAAATTTATAAGTGAAGAATGTGGAGGTTTTACATTATATTTTGTATCATTAGAAAAACGTTTTCAACAACTATCTAATATATCTAAATACTGTGAAAATCCTCTTAGAATTGAAAATATTGAAACGGTATACAAATGTTTGTTAGAAATGGAAAACAATGCCATCGAAAAATTTAAAACAAATATAGATAAATTTACTTATTCAGATTTTCATCCATCTAATTTACTTTTTTTTAATTTATTGAACCCGTATAGTAAATTTAATAATGAAGAAGTTCACAATGATGGCCTTAGTTTGATAAGATCAATAAAAATAAATGATAACTTAAACAATGAAGCAACTATCATAACACTATACGAAAAAACAATCTTGAACTTTGACAGTTATTACATGAAATCATTCCAACAACAAATTTTAGTTGCCACTATCTATCCAGTGTTCGCATTAATGATATCTTTTTTGGATGTTTACAAAAAGTTTTATGACAAAGGGTTTGATATTACGTATAGTAATAAATTTACTTTTCTACAATCATCAATTGTTGATATTATTCAAAAGTTGACACACGATCAATTGTATGATTATAAAGTAAATAAATATCTTTCTAACTTAGCTCATCAATTAAATTACCAATTGTCTTGGTTTAATTTGTTCATAACTGACTGGATTCAGATTACTATATCATCGTTAACTAATATACTAACTTTAAATAGATTTATTGTAAACGTAAAAAACTACCAAATTACAAGTAAAGGGGATTGTCAAAATATCTTTGAAATACTCGAGCAAGATATAAAATTAATCAAAACGTACGTTGACACATTAATAAAAAAAAAAGATCCATTTTTAACTGTCACAAGAAGTATAAGCCATAGCGATATATTTGAAACTAGTCCCGTAAATATTTTAAACACCAAATCAACAGGTACGTCCTTAATATTTTGATTAATAATAATATATATGTTTTTTTTTTCAACCGTATGGTTAGTTAACACCAATTAGTAGGGTTCGTCAACACTATCGATATTGGTACCGCTGACTTTTTCCGTTTTCCCCCAATATTGATTATTTATGAGATATCGCGAAGCTAAAAAAATATTTTTATAAAAAATTGTTTGAATTTTGGCATTTTTGTTATAAAAAATATATTATTTGATATTAGGCTAAAAACAATTTGTGATAATTTTGTTGACATTTTTTGTATTAAATTAAATTATGAAATATAGAATTAAAATAAGACGAAAAATGACATTTATTAATACAAAATTCTATTCTTAGATAAGGTCAATATAGGTATTGAATATAACCAATATATAATGATAAAGTCCTGTAACAAAAAAAATACTTAATTCTTCATAATAAAAATTAATTTGAAAAAATTTGATTATCATTATGAGATATAGCTATTATCTATTTTTTTATAATATTAATATCATTATCAGATTTTTTGGTATACCAAAGTCTGATTTTTACAACAATGATAACTTAACCGTATTCTTAAAGATAAAAAAATTGGTGAAAACATTTAAATATTATAATTCATATTCGACTATATTATTCATATGAATATATAAAAAAATTATTTTCGAAATCGATTTATTTTTAGCTTCGATGCGAAGCTGAGAACGTATTGGTTTTACTAAGATGTGTTTTTTTTTTTTTTTTTTTTTTTTTTTTTTTTTTTTTTTTTTGTGTCTGTTACCACTTTTTCTCAGCTCTCACCGAACCGATTTCTTTCAATGATACGTTAAAAGATCACAAATTGTATCTAGTCGAAGACATTACCCTCAAAAATTGAAAAAATTTCCCTAGTTCCCCACAAATGGGGGAAATATCCAAAAAAATTACAAATTTAAAAATCGCTAAATTTCGAAATTTTTTCAATTTTTTTTACTTAAAAGTGCCATAACATTTTCAAAATAAACATATCAATATAATTCTTTTTTATATAGATGCATAATATCATTACCTTTCATTTTGTATATTTTTCACAAAAAATTAACTTTTTCATCTTAACTTTTGAAAATGTTCCGGAAGGTCTGACACTTTTATATATATCTTAAATTGAAGCTAATGTAATATACTTTATCATGGAAAAAAAAAATTTCGGACTTTATTCTATCTTCACGGTGAAAGTGGCTACCGAATGCTATTATTGTGTGAAAATTCTCGATTTTATTTTTTACATTTTTAACATTATAATGCTATAACTAATTGAAAAGTGTATGGATCAACATAATTTTTTTTTGAGAAATAAATTTTTTAATATTCCCTTTTTTATTTGACATACTTTATCTTAATCAGGATATTAATAAGGAACTAGCAGATCATGTAGCTTTTGGAATAATCCACTAATTTTTTAAAATTAAACACTATCTAAAGATTTGCATCGAAGCGTTTTTTTTGATAGTGATTTTAATCACTGTCAGATATCATTATACTTGATCCAACTATGCCACGTCACCACTGTGCCGCGACCCCCTGTGCTGGGTTTTTCATACGATATCGCGATATTGGGAACAAATATTTTTATTTTGATATCACGTAATAATATCGCTGAAATTCGGTATGATATCGATATCAAAAAACATATTGTTGACAAACCCTACAAATTAGTAAATCTTGGAAAATTTTTAAATGCAGTAGTTTATTATGGCCTTCTGCACTGAGAACATAGTGCTTATTCGTCATTATAAAAGATAGCGTAAATATGTTTACGCCTTTACGGTCACCCATCCGTTCACCTACGGCTTTAGGAATGACTTAATAAAGTTTTGTATACAACTATCGAAAATATAAAAAGGACAATAAATTTTTGAGTTCTTAACATTTAAAATTTTTTTTTAATAGTACTATTTTGTAAAGGATCAATTACTTGATAAAATTAACATACTATTTCTTAAACATTTTTTAGACATTAAATTTGTGTATCAATATTGGCGTGGAAAAATTAAAGATTTCAGCTACACTCATGTTTAATTTTTTACGTTTCATACACATTCTAATTACTTGTACGAAGCTTATAACTATGAAATTAAAATGCATTATTTATTTATTATTTAGGTAGCTTAAGTCATTATGATAAAAATCTTTTATTCGCCGAACAATCCTCGAAAACCGATAAAAATTCAAACAACCATGAAAAAAAAATTCAAAAGGATACTTTAAAATTAGGTAGCAATAGTTATAATCTGAATACTTCAATAAGTAAAACATCAAATAAATTGCATGATGTAATTAATTCACCGTACAAGACGCAAGCAGATAAAAAACATTCGGAGGAAAATGCAAAAAATAAAATATCTACAAATGCAAATGAGAAAAAATTCTCAAATGAAGAAATTTTACAAGATAAAAATAATTCTCCGCAGAAAACTGAAGCTGGTTTAATAACTAAAGATGTGAAAAATATGGATATATTGAAGTCTTCAACAAATGAACGTGTTGTAAATGAAAATAATAGTGCTCCGCAAAATTTACTTCAAAATAATATATTAAATTCACCAAATAAACCCAATTCTGTCGATAATTCAATTAATTCAACTGGTAAACCATCAAATGAATTTTATGATGTAGTTAATTACAACTTGTACAAGCTGCGTGCAGATAAAAAACATTCGGAGGAAAATGCAAAAAATAAAATATCTACAAGTGCAAATGAGAAAAAATTCTCAAATGAAGAAATTTTACAAGATGAAAATAATTCTCCGCAGAAAACTGAAGCTGATTTAAAAACTGAATATGTGAAAAATATGGATATATCGAAGTCTTCAACAAGTGAACGTGTTGTAAATGAAAATAAATTTGTTTTGCCTCAACAACATGATTTAGATTTGTCAAATAAACCAAATTCTTCAATTAATCCAGATAATCCAAAAAGTTTATATGAGTTACGAGCGGATAAATATTGCGTTGAACACAACGAAAAGAGTTATGTACATGTTGTAGATGAAACAACTCACACATTAAATTATATTGACGAAAGAAGTAAAACTGGTCAAAGCCATTCAGACAATTTTAAATATAATTCCCCAAATACTTATATCATAAATGAATTTAACGGTGATATTGTCCACGAATACCATCAGAATATTAACTCAAAAGTGAATGAATTGAAAAAGTCTCTATTTAATAATTACAAGTCAAATATTGAAAAACCTAAATATAGTGATCGTATTGGTGCTTTAAAATTTGAAAAAATAAAAAGTAGTTTTGAAAACTTTTCATTTGACGGCTCGTATAGGTATCCTGTTGAAATTGAATACAAAATAGGAATCTCAAGATTCAATGAACTAAAAACTAACATTCAAAATCGTATTTTGAACAATTCTTTTTTGAACAATGTAAACGCGCCTAAGGAACCAATGACATTTAATCAAAACCAACAGAAAAGACCAGTTGGCAAAAAAGTGAGCTCATTAATTCAAATATTTAAAGATCTAACCCAAAAACATTTAGCTAACCAAATTGCATTGCAAAATATACATGGTAAAATAAATAAAGCAAATAAGAATATTAAGTGTCCATCAAGTCATGTTAATAACAGTCAAGAAATTTATAATAATAATGTTGAGCCAAATAAAAATAAACAAAAAAATTTTATACCAAAAAATAAAATATTAGTTGTAGCTGATCAAAAAGACACATATGGTAAGTAATTTTAAAGATAACATTTGATTGATTAACAAATAATAACTTTCAATTAGTATTTAGGTTTACTTAGCAAAAATTAAATTAAAAAACGTAATTTGCAATAGGGATCTAGTAAAGTGGGATTGAGATATTAATTAGATAAGTATTGATTGATATTAACCAGTGATTAAAATCACTGCCGGAAATGTCACCGGAATATTTTTTTCAAAATTATGACACTAATAGCTTCAAAGATACGATTTTTTATCTTTTGACGTATTTTTGAACAAAATCGATTTAGTAAGAACGTAGGTATTAATATCCAAACACAGCAAAATAAACACGACAAAGTAAAACTAATAATTTTTCAGATATGAATCAAAGCTAATATAGAATATATATTAGCTTTTAAACTATTTTTGATATATATTATATCAAAAAGACAATAATTATTTTAAAAAATGATTATTAGATCAAAAGTTATATGCGTTGTTAGTAAAGTCTGAGTCACCTTGAAAGAAAAAAATGATATAAAGATGACTGATTAATTTTTAAATAGATTTATAAATTATTAACCGAATTCGGAAAACTCAAAATAAATATGTGAAAACATGAAAAATATATGTTTTCAATTATTATTTTTAAGATATTCTTTTTTTAAAAAAATGAATTAAAACAATTTTCAAAGACTATTTTAAATGGTAAGCAATAAAAGTGCATTTGATGAGCTCATTTTCGTATCTCCCACTGTGCTAACATAATAGTATTTTATTAGTAATAATATCAGATGAATTGTAAAAAATTTAATTAATTTTTCATAATAATTGACTTGTTGATGTAAAATACTCTCTTGTTTGATCGTAGCACAGTTTTCGCTGCCAGTTTCTCAACTGACAGTGATTATCATCACTATCATAAAAAATTGACGTATTCAATATTAGATTTCAATATCAGAACATTAAAATCGTTCCAGTGAGAGCTGAAGACGATTTTTTTATAAACAAAAAAAAAACACATCATTTGTGTAATTGATTGTGTATCAATACCTTCTCTACTTAGTATCAAATTATTTTTTTAAATATCTATGAACATGTTAATTTTTTCTATTGGTTTTTAATAAGTTTAGGACAAACTTTTGAGGGCTATAAAATAAGAAATATCTAATTTTTAATGAAGTATATTTAAAACTTAAAATGTTTTTAATTTTTTTAGATTCCGAAGTAAATGAAAACATTGATGCAACATTATTACATTGCCTTTTCTCAAAGTACATATTACAGTTTATACAACTAAATGAACAACATTTCATAACAATACACTATAAAAATAAAATTGGCACGTTTACAGTAGACAATTTACTTTATTATTATTCAAATTTACAATTTCAATCTGAAAACATTTTGGCAATGCTTGAAGAGTTACGAAAAAAACAAAGAAATATTTTTGCATCTGATTTGATGACTGTCAATTTATTCCTCAACAATATTAAAGGAAATATAAATATAAATTCATTGAAAAATGAGGACATTCATTTATCAAGGAAAAAATTTATTGATAACTATAACATTTTGACCCAATATTTATTAAGCTTTATAAATTCAAAATGTCACTTGCTCTCGCAAGCAAACGTCGATTTACGTTTTAAACATTTACTTAACGAAATCAACAAAATTAATAATACTTCCAACCATAATGCAAAAAAAATAATGGAAGATTTGCAAATATTAAAGTATCATGGATATACAACATTAAAAAACACTTTGGATAAAAATCAATATATTGATTTTTATCCGGCTAATATGTTGTTTTATGATTTGATATTTGGATATAATTCTTCAGTGAGTTCAAATATTATTCCCGCTAAAGGAATAAATTTAAATAAGTTAAAAAATATATCAAAACAAATGAATGATAGACTGAATGTTATAAGAGAAGTTAAAATTAATAGTAACAACAAAAATGTTAAAAATACTATAATAGAATCATTTTATTGTGTATCTTTAAATTTTAAAGCAGAGTATGTAAAATCATTCCAACAACAAGTTTTAGCTGCAACTGTATATCCTGTTTTTAGAGCTATTTGTAATTATTTGGTTACGTATAAACAGATTTACACTACGAATAACAATTCCGCCAAGCACTCCGAGAGTATAACTAAAATTGGTGATACTCTAATAAGTAACATTAATACATTTAAAAATTTAAATCTGTTTACAAATAAGCCAACTAATTATCTGCAAAAAGTCATAAATAAATTAGAGGAAATTTTGAGAATAAAATCAAAATTTTCCATTCAAGCAACACAATCCAAATTAATATCGAGTCTTATAACTATGTGTTCAAAACCTATGCAGTTAAACCTCTTACAATTCGAAATTGAAGATAAATTACCAAACAAAATAACAGAGATTAAATTTAATGATGCACTAAAAGCAGTTAAAAATGAAATTGATAGCATTCGATATTACAATGAGGTTTTATCGTTACACAAAAACACATTTGAAATAGTTAAAAGATCTGTTCCTCATGATGATTTATTTGAAGTAAAACCATTAGATACAATACTACATTGTGTGATAGGTATGTTATAGCAAATTTAATTAAAAATAATAATGTATATATTAGTGTAAAAAAAAAATCCAAAAATAATATGAACATTAAAATAGATTAAAATTGATAACATTATAAAACGTGCTTCATTCTGCAATAAAAATATTGTATGCAAAAAAAAATATAATAGATTTATAACGATCAATGAGTACATAACTTTATAATTTACATTGATATTCAACAAATAAGTATTTAATTTATAGGTACAATATATATTTTTTACTTGTACTAATAATACTACAAGTAATATATAATTGATGATTTTTTTTTACTATTTCAGGTTAATATATAGTTAAAAAAATTCATTGAAAGAATTATCAAACAATATTATAATTATGAATTTAGTATTTAAGAGTGTAACATTTTTGTACAAAAAACAAAGTGCGATAACTGTGTTAAACATAATAATTATTAATTAATTTGTAAACAAAAATTCTTATTGTAAATAAAAATATAAGTAAAATACCATTTTGTCAGTTTTATTTTAAGTGAAAAATTTTGATATATACAAAATAAACACCATTCAATTTTTAATTTTTTTATGATATTGAATCACTCAGTATTTATATATGTATGCGTGTATAAAATTATCTCATTATAAAATTCAACTTTGGAGCGACTGTTTCAGATCCGAATTTGTAATTATACTGCCAGCTTGGCTTGTATTCTACTTGATTGAATAATTTTTGTTTTTGTTATTTTTGTTTTTGTTGTTGTTTTTAGTTTGTAGATGTTTTTGTTTATGAAAAAACTAGTTAAAATTCCCGATTTTTATTTAATATGTTTAACTTTATAATGCTATTACTTTTTGAAAAAATGTATCGATACAATTATTTCATGAAAAGTAGTATTTATATACATCTTCCATTCGACATACATTTTTTTAAATTGGACAATTTTTTTAAGATAAGTTCTATTTATATTTATATATTATTATTATATACAGGGTGATTCATTAAGGATAAGACACTCGGTTACTCAGTAGCTATTGAAAATTTTAAATTTTTGGTAAGGAAAATATTGTTTGATTCAAAAAAAAACTAAAATAATATGTAGTAAAATCATGATATTTTTCATCCCTTTAAGGTTAAAAACATTTACTTGATTTAATTTTTTTTTATTACTATCTTTACTTACACATTATTCTTGAATTATTAACTATGTAATACTTTTTAAGTTCATACCTTATGCCTTGTAAGGGGATCAACTTTGTTTTTTTAAATGGGCACATATATTTTGAATTTAATAAAATGTTTGAGTTTTTAATTTAATAGCAAATGGCGTTTGAATTTTTAATATAACTATATTTGTTTATTAGATATGAACACTCAAAGTTTCAAATTTTTGAGTTAATATATATGTATAATACACTAGGGATTAAAAATACAGGTAGCTAATTGGTTTTTTTATGAAATCGATATTAGCAGGTACACAGCATTGTTATTATCAATGGTAGTAAGGCACATTGTTGTGATTTTACAAATACACTAACTGACAATACAGAAAGTATATCTATTGATAGTCATAATTGATAATGAACAATCCGTGACTGTGACAACAATGTCATAAAAACCCAATTAGCTACCTGTATTTGTAATCCCTTGTGTATTATACATGTATATTAACTCAAAAATTTGAAACTTTAAATGTTTATATCTAATAAACGAATGAAGTTATATTTATATTACATAGAAATAGAAATAGAAATGTATAGAAATGAATGTTGAAGGAAGAAGAGGTAGAAGAAGACCAAAAAAGAGATGGAGGGATGCTATTTAATGCGATTTAAGGATAGCTGATGGGAGCGTAAATGATGTGGGAGATCGTGTCAATTGGAAGTTTAGGATAAGGGTGGCCAACTCCAAGTTGTTGGGATTAAGGTGAGGAAGAAGAAGAAGATATATATATATATATATATTACACTTATAAATCATAAAACTTTTAATCAGAATATAAATAAGGAAATAGGGATTATGTAGCCGACAACAATTTGTTGTCAATTTGTTCCGACAACTTATTTTCTATGTGCTAATAGAAGTTGAAGTAATCAAAAATAGGAGTTAATTTTGTTTTTGGAATAATCCATTCATTTTTTAAAATTAAACATTATCTACAGATTTGCATCGATGCGTTTTTTATGATAGTGATTTGAATCACTGTCAAATATCATCTATACTGAACCCAACTATGCCACGTCCTCAATGTGCTGGGCTTATTTTATAATATTATATTTTTGTATTAGTTAGAAAAATTCCAATTAATTATGACACATTTATACTATTTGGCTCATTTTTAATTATTGTAAGACTTTTAACAATAAAACTTAAAAAATTCCTATATTTTTTCTCGCCTTAATCCCAGCTACTGGAACACAATCGCCCACATCATTTACGCTCACATCAACTGTCCTCATACCGCATTTAATTACATCCCTCCATCTCTTTTTTGGTTTTCCTCTACCTCTTCTTTCTTCAAAATTCAATTCTATAATTTTTTTTACAGCTTCCGTTTCCTCTCAACCTTATAACATGTCCAAACCATCTAAGTCTATGTATCATCTAACTCTCTCTTATATGTTCGCTCCTGATACTTTCTTCTATAGTCACTCCACTCATCAATCTAAGAATTCTCCTGTCTGCTACACTTAATCTCTGCTCTATTCTCTTATCATAGTTGGTTTCACTAGTCTTATAGAACTTACCATTCAGCCTCATTGTAATTCTTTTATTGCTTAACACACGAGACGCTTTTTTCTACGTCACCGAATCTTCACAATTAATCCTGTCTCTTACATCCTCGTTAATACAACCGTTCCTCTACCGAGAGAAAATAGACTTAAATGTCTATTTTCTCTCATTTTATGTACAATGGACGCTATACGTATACTCTCTCTTATATGTTTATTTCTTAATCTATCTTTTCTAGTCACTCCACTCACCCATCTAAGCATTTTCATTTCTGCTACACTCATTTTCTACTCCACTTCCTTGCCAACACTCTGAACCATACTTAAAACTTAAAAGATTCCAATAAATTAATCAATTATATATGTAATTCATGTAATATCAGGTATAAAATATAATGATGATTAACAAATAAAATCTATTGATGTTATAAAAAAAAAAAATATTTACTGGCTATATTTAAAAGGAATAAATGAATATTCCACTTAAATCAAAATAAAATTTTCATTATCTACTAATAAATTAAACAATCTTGTAATAATGCGACATAACTTTAATGATAAAAATATAAATATAAAAAATGTTAATGAAATTGTTTAACTAACAGCACTAAAAATGCTTCATTAATTTGATAATTTTTTAATAAATCGAATAAATATTGCATTAAAATTATTATAAACTTATCATTTAAAAACATTGATAATTTATACTATTTGTAAAATTAAAAAAAAATTTTACGAGAAAAATTTTTCTTTAACAATATATCGAAATAGGGTGTTGAATTTATATGTAATGCACTAAATCATCTAATGTGTGATTGTTTTAAAATTAAAAATTGATGTATAATTTATTTTCGATAAACGAATTATTTGGTTTAAGTTTAATTGTGAATGTTTTTCATAACTGAATATTTACAAAAATGTTTTGACTTGGTATTCACTCATAATAATCACAGAAGTCTTAAGACAAAGTTAAAATGCCGTTGAATATATTAATAATTTAGTAAACTTAGTAATGCTATGATAAATAATGTTATATTAATTTTATATTTAGTACGTCATCAAATATGACGCAAGGAATTTTCATGACAATCCTCGTGTTTATTGACCAAAATTGTTTGTAGCGTTTCGAAATTGATTTTTATTGTTATGTTGTATAATTTTAGACTTATTTTACAGTATCATTTCATTATGATATACTAAATTTTCAATCGCAAAACTCACTGTCATTTATTTTATGTAGACACCGATTTTAGACTGACCAAAAAATGACAAAGCTTTTTAATAAGAAAAATAATTACATTACCATTATTATCACATTTTAAGTAATAATTATGTAATAACTATAATAATAATCCAGTTAAGCAATCAATGTCATATTTAACATTTTACTTTTGGGCAAAATTATGGTGACCAGTAAGTCCCCATGACTGAAATTCCCCCTGTCCCCTCTATAGGACAGTTCTTTGAGTATACTTTAAAAGTCTATCAAATTTTATCGAGGATTCACCGATCAAAAACGATTACAAAAAAAAATTATTTATACTTAACATTTTAACAATGTCTACACACGTTTTTTTTGACAAATTTATTGCGATTTAATATATGAAGTTAGATTTACTATTAATACAATTCCTGTAAGACTTCAAAATTGCACACGTGCACAATGACGTAAATTTGTCCAATTTTAAGAATAATAAAATAAAATTTGAAAAATTATTTTTTTTAAAAGAACATTTTATATTGATTTTTATAAAAAATTATTAAACATTTATAAGTTTATAACTTATGACATTTAAGATCTTTATTTTAAATGTAACTGTAATCTTAAAAAAAAGGTAGCACAGTGGTGTCGCGACACAGTATGGACGTGACATAGTTGGGACAAGTATAGATGATATCTGACAGTGATTAAAATCGCTATCATAAGAAACGCTTCGATGCAAATCTATAGATAGTGTTTAATTTTAAGAAATTGGTAGATTATTTCAAAAGCAACAATAACTATTATTCTCTTAATTTTATCTCTATTAGTTATTTGATTTATAATTATAATATATGAATACATAATAATTATAGTAATTAAATTTAGTATGAAATTGATATTCAATAATTTAATATTGTAATTTTTACGGGCATAAAAATAATAAAGTAGTAGTATATTTATTTACTTTTAACGCATATAAAAATTTAATGGGCTTGATGCAATACTTTTCAATAGAAAATGTTTGTTACTTATAAAAAAGTTATAAGTTTTATACACTGGACTAAAAGAAATTTTCATCAGAAACAAAAATATACTTTTCTAAATCAACTTTTCTCGATATTTTAAATGTGCAATTAGACTTTTTTCTATCACTTCTCAGTTTTTATATTATTACTTATTATTAAAAAATAAGTATTTACATATAAAAAAAAATAATCAAGAACCAAAAAAAAATTATTTTAAATTAATATCGCTTTCGATTATAAATATGTTAAAAATAATAAAAATGAAATATTCAGAACTTAATTAATTTTAATGATTTAATTTAACTAAAAGAAACAATCAAAACAAAGTTGTTAAAAATATTTACTCAATTGAGCGTATTATAAAATTTGATTATAATTGTAAAAATTTATTGTTAATTCAGGAGAAACTAACAAAAATTTTTTTTAGAAATGATTTATATAGCAACATATTACCAAAAAATTTGGAATATTATAGTCCAATAGTAGCACACACAAATAGAGTAAAAAAATTATTAAATTACAAAGTACTATGATTTAATTTTGAAGGTGTAACCTATAATATCAAATTATCATATCAAACTCGATTCGTCAATAAATACTTTGAAAACATTA